TTTTGATTGATAAGGCAATACGTGGGCAAGTTGGAAGATACAGCCGCTAGAAGGGAAATGATCATCCAAAATGAAAAGCCAACAGCAAACAGTCCATCCAGATCATCAACAAAACTAGTGGGCGTCACGTCACTGGGGGCGGGGCGTCACGCGGGTCCTGCTCAGCAACCACAGCACCTTTCGCCGTGGGAGGCCACACATCGCTTCCTTGGCAGCCAAGTAATTGCTCCGTGTGGCGCAGGTTCTCCCCGATGCGAAAATTCCTTATCGTAATCGCTTCCTTTAAGAGAAAAACTACTTTGGATTGCGAGCTCTAAACAGACTCCAAAATTGACGTCGGAGTTGCATAGTTTCAAGACCTTGAGAGATATCCATTCGCTTGCTGATAGATAGAGGACACTTGTAGACAGTTTATTTATTTATTTATAGTACATGTACCTTGCGTACATGAAACAAATTTAAAAGAAACAGTCAGGAAAACAACAACACTGATAACATTGATAACGATACAAACCAGAACAAAAGTTTAAAAAAAATGGAGAAGAACGAAGCTAAGAAGTGGAGAAATTAACAGAGGATAAGAGAACTCAAAGTGACCAACCTCCAGAGTAATAGTAGTAACGAAATACTAAGACAGTAACCTGCTAAACGTAAAATTTATGCATATTTCTTTTTAACTGTGCGATGCTACTAGGCACTGCGAACTTTTTAATAAATTTGTTGAATTCCAAGGAAGCCCTTGCTAAGAAGAATTTACTACGAATACCAGTCTTGGATTTAGTAAGCAAGCAGTCTGAACGTACCTCCTCTGGTGTGGGACGGAAGAGGGACGAAGGAGCCCTTACTCTCTATCAGCATCCTGCCTGTGATGATTTTATAAACAGTAACCAGATCCAATATTTTCCTTCTACAGAGGAGGGATTCAAGACCAAGCATCTTATTTCTAACAAGACCCTTAGGTATGTCGTAATAGTTAAAAGCCCAATGTTCTAGTTAAAACCTTCCTCGTAAAGCTGTTTTGAACCGCCTCAAGAAGTGAAATCAATTTTTTCGAGTGAGGGAAGAAAACGACAGTACCATACTCCAAAATAGGGCGAACGTACACCTTGAAGGCCCTAATAAGGATACCGGATCCTATAGTGTACAAGCTTCCTGAGTTGTTGTAATAAAGCGCTTAGTCCAAGGTGGTTTCGAAGAAATTCGTTTCTTTCTGAAAATTATTTAAAGTCAATTGGCAATACTTATGACTTAGCCTAATACAATGAACTGATAGATTGTTCTCCCAACAAGAAAGGCTGAAGGTCTCCCTCATATAGGAACTGCTTTTATGCATTACAAATTACTGTGAAAGTATCACAACTCCAAAATGATAGTGACACAACCACCTCTGAGTAACATTACATTAACCTCGCCTTCAAGAAGACCAGAAATTGTGCAATTGCAGAAATTGACGTGGCATTGACGTGGCATCGATTCAAGAACATCTTTGAGCACACGTGATGTCACCTTTTCATCGAGAATTTAGCCACGTGTGCCACGTGGATTTCTGGCTGCACGAAACAGAGGTTACAATGGTTTGAGTGTGGTGAAAAATTCAACGCAGAAATAGGGTGGTCGATTGGTGAAACTCGGGAAGGATCGGCAGGTTAGATCAGCGCCTGGCGAGTCCCATTGTAGATCGATCAACTACGAGCGCAAAGATCAGCATATGATCCGGACGAGTTTTCTGACGAAGACATGGCGAGCTGCAGCAAGGTTCCGCGTCTTACGACCGGCTCCCCTTTTTTGGGATGCGGCACATAGTCTTCTTTCTTGTACATTCGTGGTGGCACTTAAATGCCATCTGGTCCTTACATGACCGCCCAATAACCTGCGGAGCAGGGTCATTCCTATCGTTGTTACTTTTTGAAAAACTTTTACGACCCCCCTCCCCAAGGTGGAATTTGGTACGACCCCCTTTCGACCCTCGACCACCATATTAGTATTTAATTCTGGTACCACTCGCAACCCACAAACTCCGCCCACATTTTCCTCCCAAAAACGCCGTCGAGCGGGGGGGGGGGGGGGGAATTTACACGCGCTGAAACGGCGAATTTTTCTCCCGTGCGCTCCCAACTCACCTAGCAAACTCGAGTTTCACCACAAACTCACATGTACTTTCACGCGCGACCGAAGCGGATACGACCCTCCTCCTATGAACTCAACCAGGTACGACCCTCCGTTGTTACTAGTAACAAACTAGGGTTTGACCCTGCTGCGGAGGCCAGCCGATGTACACGTCAGTGTTGATTATTCTCCTAGACAAGGTTTGGTACTAATTAACCGATCCTGAAGGGATGAACGAACGATCCACCATTTGATTCCCAGACAGCACGCTCGGTAAGCAGCGCCACTTCCCACTACAGCACCTGCCGCAGTCACAATCTCGATTGAGCAAATAAACTCGTCTTAAATTTCGGAAGCAGCCTGAAAAGGAGAACTGAAAGCACCCCAAGCTACGCTTTCCTATACCGATCGATGACGCAGGCCTCAGATGTTCGTCGGACCATGCGATTGTACCGAACAATGGGGGATCGCGATCGCTCATCGTTTGGCACAATCGCCGAGTCTGATGGACACCTTATGGTCAAGTAATGGTGGCGCCCAGAGATGCAGAATTTCAGGCTATCCCCGGTTGGTACTGCTGCACACAGCTCCTGGAGGAGCCAGCCTCAAATGCAAGAATTTTTCCACCACGGGAGCCCATTATCGAATCATTTTTTTTCGGCGTCTCTTCAACCTTGAGGACCATTTTGCGGAAAGGAACCCCGTTTTTATGTTTCATGAATGTGCCTCAAAACTGCAAAGACACCAGCGACAGGTCGCTGAAGAAGCGCGACATGACGTTCATTATTGTCAGCGCAGAAAAGACAAAGATTTGAAATTCGACTAAAGTTTTTTACGCGTGCCTGCTATTTGTTTCCAAGTTTACTGCTAACCATAGGAACATGTATCTTGCTCGATTTCATAAAATGCAGAATTCCAAGAAAAAAAAACTAACGAAGGCGGCTTGGCTTCCACGTTTCCAACTCCCGTGTTAGAGCTTTTGCCTGAGGCTCTGCAAAATAAATGAGACTCAGAACTAGGGCCAACTGTGTTTTGGTACAAATAGGTTGTGGTCCATGAGTACCAACTGTGTACCAAGCGCCACCAGCATGTGCGACTGATGTACGGCGGGAATTTGAACGCGTAACAGTCCTTTAGATTTTCGAATTGCTTAACAATGACATACAAAATTCTTTTACTTTCAGTCCATTCGTGAAGGATGGATTCCAAGTTGATCTATGAGTAAGAACGAACCAGTATTTGTTCATTTTTCATCCGGGAGCGGCACCTGGCAATCTGTTCTCCACGAAGTGAAGATCTACATCATGACTCTTGCCCACGGGCCAGCACTTTTCTCGCTGTGAGCACGAGTCATAAAGGACAAAGTACAGCAACCGTGGGCTTCACCGCTGTCTTGTGAACCTCATATTTCTCATTCGTGCTGGATAGCTGGTTTACTGTTAGGCTCACCACCAACCGGGAAGGCCTTTCAATCATGTTCCGCTTTTTCGGACGGTTCTTTGCACTTTGTAGGACACTTGCGCTTTACACAGAACATTCTCATTTTTCCTGAGCGGCCCTCACAATGCCAAGAAGCAGTGAAAGATTAAGGCATGTTTCGATTTCCCGTATTGACATAGCTTTGCTTCTCGACTGGGCCTTGCGTGGTGTCGCAAATGACACCCATAGCTACTAACGGTTGCGTTGTTTCCAAGCGCCATCCTAAGCCTATATGGGTAGATTTTTACCAAAAGCTGGTGTCAAAAAGGTGTAGCGCTTGAGCTATTTTGAGTCTCTTTTATGGCATTTAAAGGGTCGTTCTGGAAAAAATGAAGCACCTTCCTGTGCTCCATGCATGTGTCTTGATATCATGCGAAAGACATTTCGAAAAAGCGGGGCACAATTTGAAAGCCCTTTCTGGTAAGATTAGGTCTCATCTTTACAAAGACTGCATTCCATTTTCTGCTCTAGCAAATGAAAAAGGTTGAAGAATAACAGCATCAGGCAGGCGTCTTAAACACGCAGGACCTTGCGTAAAGATCTGTATCCGATATCCTAGGTTAAGACCTACAATCTCCACTTGACGCTTTCACGACACTATTCTTGCTCCTGTGCTTAGTAATGACTTCTTGAGGAGTCACATAGAAATTGTATGCTGTATGAAAAGATAAGGCCTGCGCTTCGCTTCACAATATTTCAATGTTTTCATAGGTTTGTGGGCCAATCTTTTCGAGAGCATGCGTATGGTTGCATTCTTCCCACCAATAGCACGAGACAGCCTCTCTGGTTTGGAACCAAAGGTACTGACCAGGCTCAGATGACCCTCTCGCATTGTGTACAACCTGTTAACAATATGTACGCCGCAGTATTATCTGTTGGACGGCCGTAGCGTCGGTCCTCACAGCCATGTTCGACCGCTCATTGTATGGAGAGTAAAGGCACAGTTCACAAAGATGTCCATTTTTTAGCTAAGGACCACCCATTCGAATCTTTTTGCAATCCATGCGCTTTGAAAATCCATTCATATTCCAAGATGTTCGATATTGCCATTCATTTGGATGCAATCATTCGGAATTGTTAGAGCTCACAAACAGGCCAAAACTGACCGAATTGAGCAATCTTACTGGTGTACGCTCTTTGGTGAATTCTATGACCAGTTTGTCTTATACCGATGCAGTCCCGTATGATGCACGCATGCGCGTGCATCATACGGGACTGCATCGGTATAAGACGGATCCATCGGTATTCCTGTAAGAGTTCTTGGCACACTCCGCTCACTTATTGTTAGAGTCGCACGGAAAAAAAACTCAAAAAACTGAAGTGGAAAGGCCGCTTACTAAGAAGCTGCTAAACAGCGGTAGGTCTTTCAGGGCCTGTACTACTATTGTTATGCGATTAAAGCTTTGCAAACTCACTCGGGTACCCTGTATGCTGCTCCAAAGTTTCCCAGACCAAAAAAACAATCGGTGTCCCTGAAAAATAAACATTAGCTTGCTTTCTACAAGAAGAAGGCAAAGTTTTTCTTCCCGCCGAAGTTCTTGTACTGATTATTGAAGTAGTTATTCGACTGATCACTTTGAAGAGTAGTGGAGCAATAAATAAATTTGATATAATTGATAGCAAGGAAAATTTAGCACAAGGTCCACGACATAGTCCCACAAAAATCGATCAGAGTAGAGATCTGCGGTGGTTCCAAACAGGGTCAACCGTCCGTTCGAACTGTTCGAACGAAGGGGTCGCATTTTGGTCGGAAGGGGGTCGCAATTTCGAGGACTGCCAGCCACAGGCGCGTGCGTGGCGTATCCGAGGGCAAGAATTGTTTGTGCAGACCGCATTAGATTCGATTTATTATGCACAGAGAGACAGTTTTAGGCAAATTACGGTGTTTTCTTAGGAATAAAGAACAGTTGAATGCATCCCTATGAAAGGTTTGACTTCTCGGGGCTGAAATTAAAGTTCTTCGGGACCTAATTTTTGGGGACGATTCTTCCAGACAACTGTAAAACACATAAGAAAGCAGAAATCTCGTAGTCTTCAAAAATGTCTTCGCCCCTCCCCAACAAGCTCTTTGAAGGAAGTTATTATTGCTGAAAGCTCAAAAACTCGCATGTGCTGCTCAAAAACCTATGGGAACAAAATGTTCGAACGTGTGATTTTCTCGGAAAATGGATTTTGAAAAACGGTTTGGTGCTTGTTAGAAAGAGCAAATCCTGTACTTTCACCCCATGAAAAAAGTGCATCACAGAAATGAAAATGAAGTGAGTTATGCCCGCTTAAAGCCCAAAAACTCGCGATTTCAAAAAAAGTGTTCGGCAAAACCCCCCAAAATGTTCGAACGTGTGATTTTCTCGAAAAATGAACTTTGAAAAACGGTTTGGTGCTTGTTAGAAAGAGCAAATCCTGTACTTTCACCCCATGAAAAAAGTGCATCACAGAAATGAAAATGAAGTGAGTTATGGTCGCTGAAAGCCCAAAAACTCGCTTTTGCACGAAAAATGTTCGAACGGGACAATTTTTTGAAAAAGGGGACAATCACTAAACTTTTTATACTGTTTTGTTAGAGAAATATTTGAAGTTTCTGAAACTTTTTACAGCTTTCCAAAATGTCGCATACGAAAGATTTTATGGGCCTTCAAAGTTGAAGGTGCGCCTTCTTAGAATTTTGGGTTTTCCACTTCTAACAGAAGTACTTTCCGGAGAGTTAGGCAATCCTTGTAGTTTTCTGAAAGCGCACCTCAGGCACAATCAAAATCTACCTCAACAAGTCAAAAAAGTACGTCCCAAGAAAGTTATTCCCCTCTAAAATTTTTTCTTCGCCGCGTCCCGTTCTTCCAGCGCCCGGGTGATACCTGCCGCGCTCCAAGGCTGACGCCGCAACGCAGACGCTTTCTGGCGCAACGGATTCATGTCTAGCACTCTTATTAACAAAAACAGGGGGTCGCAACTGGACCCCCTCGAGAGCTAGGGGGTCGCAAAAATCCCGAAAATGTTCGAACGTGACGGTTGACCCTGGTTCCAAACGACTACAGTATAGAAAATTTTCTCCTTTCGCGTTGTTGAGTTCCGGTAAACGGAATCATTAACCTATTACGAGAGCAAACTTCTAGACATGGTTTGAGAATCACATCAATAAGACAACTCCGACTCCAGTTTATGTGGTCAGTATCGCTACGTCACACTCGAAAAGGTACCGTGTCGGTCATGGTCACGATAAAAATGACAGTGTCGGCTGTCTATTGATAGAAAATCCACCATTTTTCAAATTTGACTATGATGATAAGTTTCTCGACAAAATTCCTCGCTCTTTTTTTTGTGTGAAGATGTGAAAGCTTTTAGTAAAAACGAGCCAGTAAAACGGAAGAGAAACTCGAGAGAGAGAATGAAGGGAGTTGCTACAGTGAGCAGTGAATTCATTTACTGATCCATACTTGGACCCATTGAATTTCAGCCACTCTATGTAGAAGTTGTATCAAAATCAAAGTATCAAAATTGCTCAGCGTTATCTTATGCACTCGATTTTTGTTTGACCGTAAATTTCTTACGGCAAGCTGCAATTCGCTAGGAATTTGGTCATTTGCGGGAATTTCCAGTGCGATTCTTCTCCCTTCCTCCCATGGATAAAGAATGTGCGAATTTCGTGGAAAAAGCCTGTCTCGAGGCTTATCACAATTTGAGCAAATTAGATACGGCAGAAAAATAGTTAGAAAAATAGTTTAGGTCATAATATACAAGAGAGGAGCAAAAAAACTTCTTCCCATGGCGCACATTAAGAAATTTCTCATCGAGTAGGTTGTCGCTGTTGATGGAAGTATTGCAGCAGAATGTCTCCTTAATATCTCTACATAAATACACGTGAACCCTCTTTAAGTGCCCACGCCTTCTTCGAATACTGCTTCATCTGCCATCTCCGCCGAGAGTCCAATAAAGGCGCTCATATTGTTGGGGTGAAGGGGGGGGGGGGGAGGGATTCAATTGAGTGAGCCAGTTACTGTGCTTATGACTATGCATTGGGGAGGGTTGGGGAGGGGAAGAAATTCCGGGGAAGAGTGGAGCAATTTCTGTTCTTACTAACGTTTCTCCCCTTTCCTCGGCATAGTTCCTAGCATCGGCTCT